AAATATATATTATATATTATATATTTTTTTAATCAGATTCTATTCGTATCTTATAAAAGGATATGAAACAGAAAGTATCTTTGGAAGAAAATGAAAACAGAAAAAGAAGAAAAGATAAGTAAAAGCGCATCAAATTTCATATAATAGAAATGAAAATATGAAGAAACAAGAATAAGGAAAAAAATGAAATAAATAAATGACTAAAAAAGTAAAAGTAAATCAGAGTTTGTTGGAAAACTGAAATAAAACTTAAAAAAGAAAACTAAAAATAAGTAAATACAATATCTTAAAACTAAAATGAAATCAAGTATCAAATCTCCAAAACAGTAACAACAAACTAAAATAAAATATAAAATAAAAATAATATTGAAAATGCAAAATCGAAAAAATAAGCAAACAAAGAAAAAAATGAAAATCTTATACAAAAATATACCAAGAAAAGTTGAAAAAAAAAACTATCAAAAGTTGAAAACTGAATCGCGTTAGATCTTCAGAGTATCATAAACTCGTTATGCCAATTGTAAACTTTAAAGAAGTAGAATTTATATAAATATATATACATTTTTTCATTGTTTTTTCTTTTCTTTTCAATGAAAGATAGAAGATAAGTAAAGACTCACCATTTAATACGTGTACCGTGATACTAGTTGCTTCAGCATTCGATGGAGAACAGGTATAATTACCAGAATCAGCTGGCTGAGCGTGTTTGATATACAATGTGCTAACTGCTGTGTCACCCCCTGCTTTATGCACTGTGATTTCTCCACGTGATGAGTCATAGTTAATCACTTTGCTATTGTGATACCAAAAGACGAAGGCCGGTGGTTGTGAGCTTTGGATGATAATACAAGTTAAATTAATAGAACTGCCCGTTTTCACGTAAAGATCCGGAGATCCGTCGATAGATGCTTTTGCCACTGAAAGGAAAGTCACTAACATTACATTGAGGTAATTATCAGGAGTTACTTATAAGATCAACACCCGTTGTGATTAATAATGGGTTTGCTTAATGATAAATTGAAGTCGAAGATATTTATCTTACAACCCATTTACCCTAAGTAAAAATGTTTTAACTTTCATCAGAATTCCACAAGAAAACGAGAAATTCCTTCAATCGATATCCATTAAGTTATAATAAAAAGAAAATTTTTTTTTCAATAGTATAAAAATGTTATAAATAAAATTAAAGGCAATTTATTAATAAACTTTTAAAAAAAAATTATATTAATAATATTATTATTATAAATACCTTTAAAGATAAATTGAAACTAGACACAAGTTAGTTATAACTTAAAAAATACATTAAAAATCTTTGACATGTTTAACACAATTTTTTTATGTCAAAATTAGAAAAAAATAGCATAAAATATTTCTACGAACAAAATAATTTTCGTGATTTATTATTATTTTAATTAATTTAATAAAAAATAAATAAATGTAATTTTTTTAAATGAGTAATTCATCATATTTGCGTGCGATGTAACACTTTTTTTTTAAATGAAAATAAAATATTCAACAAGCTCCTTTTAATAACACATTTTTTTGACATTTTTATGTCACATTTTTCAAAAATTTTTAAACACTTTTACTTATTTTCGTATATATTTACAGCTCAAATTTGGCGTAAGTTAATTGCGACAAGTGCGGAGAATCATCATAAGAGAAGCTATGTGTAATGCAACTATCCAATAAGTTTACATATATTTTATTCGTTTTAAACTTCACTCAATTCGTATGAGTCATTTATTTGCCATGGAGATATTAATTTACTACAGCATCTCCGCGAGACGAGTATTTTCATCTATCAGAATGATATTCTATGATTTCTCTAGAGGATTTAGAATTTCATTTTACAATATATTTTTAGAATTCACCCTGCACTACCTTCATTTTATATGTTATTTATAGATAAATTAAGTGTGGAATTTCACTACGCTTTTCAGAAACTATATTGGAAAGTTATGAAACTTATTGATTTATAAAGAATATTTTTTTTTTTTGGTCAAGAGAAATGTTACTTGCAACTACTTCCTTTGATAAATTACATTAATCACGCAGTGAATTCATTTTTGCAATTCTTGATGATGCTGAAAATTACCAGATTAAGTTCCATACAAATCATTACATCACAGCTTAATGCCATCAGTAATGTTTGTTAACCCGAAACCTCTGATCCAAGATTTGCTGACCAAAATCATCAAGAGGTATAGGATCTTAAACCTGTCCTGATCTGATCTTTTAATGAGAATATTTATCATTTAAACTTGTATCTGTCATTTAATGACTGACAAATACAATTCTAAATGATAAATTTTATCATTAAAAGATCAGATCAGGACAGGTTTAAGGTCCTACACCTCTTGATGATTTTGGTTGGCAGACGTTGGTTCAGAGGTTTTCAATTAACAATCATCGCTTAATGGCTCTAAACTGTAAGGTGTTAAAGTTCACACCTCTTTAACAAATTTTCAGTTTGCTAATTGTGCTTCAAATAAATGAGATTGATAATTATCGTCTCGGGAAGAAATACTGTAACAAAAATATTTTTTTATTTATATAAATCATTAAAAATATGATAAAATTATTAACAAAATTTTAATTTAATTCTAATGACTTAGGACCTGTCCATTAAATACTTGTACAGTTTTTGAGCCATTTTTGTTCCCCTGTCTCCCTATTGTGTACAAAGAAAGAGAGATTGTGTGCAAAAGAGGAAGGACTTTTGGCAAACTCCCTCCCCTATAATTACGTGTACAATAGTTAAGGATACTTTCAACATGAAGAAATAACTAAAAAGTTTTTCAAATAATTCTATTTGATAGTTTATTTACATTAATTCTTATACCACTAATACTATTTTAAAAAAAAGGTCCATATAGACAATGCCTAGATCCTCTTTCTTACCATCGTGTATAATGATATATTTTTCGTGACCCCCCCTTAAACTGTACACATAATTAATGGTCCCTTATATTTAGAATTGCAGAATTCTGTAACATAATTCAAATAGCATCTAGCCAAACAAGACTTTTTCAAATTAAATTAAATCTATAAAAGACAGTTTGAAATGATTTTATAGAACAATATTTCTGTCAAAACAAAATAAATTTATGGTATATGTCACATATTTTGACAAAATTTATATAAGTTATAATCTAAAGTTTACTCAAACTCATGCTAAACTCTTATATAAATAAGAAAAGTTGACACGATCGTCGTATTGTCTGAATTGTTTTCAAAGGAAATTTCATATTGCAAATTTATATATCTTGAGAATCTTCACATAAAATTTCGTTTAATCTCTTGAAAATTCTATAATTTATAACAATTATAAAATAGTGAAACGATTGTTTTAAAACAAGTAAAAGCAAAATTTATAATAAAAGCAATTAAATGTTCCTTAAAATTGTATATAAGTTATCAATTAATAATATTGTTTATACAAAATACATAGCCTAACTTCACAAACTAGGATATAAAATACGGATAGACAAACAAACGAATGAAGAATATATATATTTTTTTTTAAATTAAAAAAAATAATTTAAAATTAAAGAATTTTACATAAATCATTAATCAATTTTGCTCATAGAAAATATACTGTACACACAGATAACACTTTATTTATTTAAATCTTGATAGGATAGATAATTTAACTGGGTTATTTCTGTTTTTCTTAAGTTTTAAAGAGAAAATTTAAATATTTAATAATTGTTTTTGAATTATTCTACTGTAACAATTTTCTTCTAACATCACATATCAGTAATTTGTTTATTTATACTTACACAAACGTATTCATTGCGATTTAAATCATGTATTTATGAGAAAATGCATAATTGATGAGAAAAACAACGTATAAGAATCAACTTAAACAAACCAAATACATAATAAGTATTAAAAATAAATTTAAATGATTGTATATATATTCGATTTTATCTTATTAATTATAAACTTCGAAGGAATAAGAAAGAAGAAGAGGAAGAAGAAAAGAAAAATACAATGTATATTGAATATGTGGGGAATGATATAAACTTGGAAGTAGAAGAATATTATTGAAATAACTAAATAAAAAAAAATTATAATAAATTTTGAAAAATATATTTCAAATTTTTATTGGAATTTATCGTTTAATTTTCATCACAAAATGTAAATAATTTTAAAAATGTTGACATAGTCAATGTATTGTTTACGTCAAGAACATTCGTTGCAAGTAAGATCCAATCTGAGAAACTTAATTTGCATTTCAACACGAAAAAAATAAAAATATCCAGCTGCAAATGTCAAGCTTATATAAAAGTAGAAAGATATTTTTTTTATGTTATTATTTCTCTAAGCAAATTATCAACCTTCTGCACACAGAAAGAAAGAAAGAAACAAAAAAGTATATATAATAAAAGAAGTCGCGTACAAGAAATGGTTATGACATCGAAATTTCTCAATGAGCAGCTGCAAACTATAGATCGAAAACAATCAAACCTGTTGTTAATATAATTCACTCATAAGAAAATATTCTTACTCTTTTTTTTTTAATTTTTTTACTCTTATAAAAATATGGAAATCACATTATTAAAGTTATTAGTAAAAATGCTATTATGGTATTAAAAAAGTTTTAGTGAGAAACAGTAAAAAATCAAATTATTTTACTTTTTTTCACTCTGATTAAGAATGATTGGACTCTTATGGAATGCTACTTTAGTAATAGAAGTTTTTTTTTTTTCTTTTTTTTTCCTTTCGCAGAGTGCAGCAACTCGAACATAAACATGATTACAAAACAGAAGAAAAAAAGTTAAGATATATAGAAAAACTCTTCATGTTTAAAAATAATGAGATTTAACCTGAAAAATTAATTTTACTTTGTGTCTTCTAAGTAGAGAGTTTTTCTTATTTTTTTTTCACTTCGTAATAAAATTCGTAGCATGGAATCTTTTCGCCAGTCAGAAACTAAGATTCTAACTGGAACGAGTGGCAAATTCCAAACCAGTAACATCCCACTATTGGAATCTAGCTCTTTCTCTCTTTACTTTCTTAAATATCTACACGGTTATTTATTTATTTTTTAAATTTCCGAGCAATTTTATCGACGCTAAAGGGTTTTTTAAAAAGTTCTTTTCTTCATTGTCTTCGGTAGCAGAGAGAAAAAAATCTGGTGATTTTCGGGTAATTAAAGAAGTGGTATGGCATCCTCTCAACCATTTAGAACATGGTTTAGACATATTGTGGCCTGCCCTAGATTGGCTAGCCATAATGAGTGATTAAAGTAGAATTGAAAGTCATTTCGGTGTAAAGATTTTTTTCTCCTCCTTCTAAATTTTTATCCTTTTGAAAAACAGGAAAACTCCTGATAAGAAGGAAGTAGGGGGAAAATATATATATATATGAAGAAGAAGCCTGTAGTTAGTTAGATAAAAGAAAAATGCAATGAAGTCTGTCTCTCTTTTGAAATTTTTATTCAACAAAATTGAGATTAACTAATAAATTAACGAGATACCTGATGCGAATGTATGTTGTAACGTTACGATACTTCTTAAATTAATAAAAGTTAATTTTCCTACAAGGTACGATAAATTATCTTTCATGCAGTAAATCATTTATTGTAAATGTTCGTGTCAAAAGTCAGTATTATTACTTGGCATTTATCTCTATTATCTGATGTGACATCAATAAATTTAAATTATACTTTCATAAATACAATTTTGTTTAGTAACATGTTATTTTCTATGACAAAATATTTTATATAAAGAAATTAATATCTACTTATGGTTTATGTTAACAACACTATTATAATAATATTTTATTTTACATATNTTGTAAAATATGTTTTTAAAGTGTTGTATAAAATATTAAATTTAAGCTAAAAACTTTTAATTAAATTTTATTTTTAAAAATCAAGACAAAAATATTCTTTTTTTTGCCCTTA